TCTAATAATTAATATTATTAATTGAATAGTTTTGTTTTCCGTTAATTCATAGACTAGATTGATATACCACTTACATTAGTCCAAAAACTAAAAAACTTTCAAAGTTCAACTATTTTGTAAGTGTCCTTAAACTGATCTCTTTCTTGTGACTAAAATTAGACAGGATAGAAATAAAGCATAGAAAAACAATGAAATATTTGGCCTTTCTAGAGAAAGCTACTGATTTCATATCTTACCAAAGTAATCTTGATGAGATTAAACATGGTACTATTTTATAACTCCCCAAAACAGTTCTCTGTACTTCACTATCTCCAACTTCTCCCTTCCCTTTCTTTCTTAAAACCACTCCCATCAAGCTTTCCTCTACCACTCCTTTCATTTTTTTGCTCATCTTACTTGTATTAATAGCATTTGACAAAGCTGATCAATTCCTCCCCCTTGAAAAACTTTCTTCACTTGGCTTCCCAGGCACCAGTTTTCCTACTATTGATAACCAGTCCTTCTCAGTCTTTTTGTTGATTCCTCCTCACTGCCTCAATCACTGAACAATGAAGTGCCCTCAAGTCAAGTACTCATATTACTTCTAACCTCTAATTACACTCCCTTGGAGAGATTCTATCCAGCTTCTTGGCTTAAATATCATATGCCAACAGCTACCAAATTTGTATCTCTGGTCCCACAATCTGCTGTGAACGCCACACTCAGCATGTCCACATAGATGGCAAATAACATCTCAAACTTTACCAGTTGATAAGTCTCCTGTGAATTCCAAATGACATATCCACTTAGCAATTGTAGTAACTCTCAAATTTAGCCAGTCTAAAAGTCGACTCTTGGTCTTCTCCCCTAAGACAGTTTCTCTGGTAGTCTTCATCTTAATTAATGGCAACTCCACTCTTCAAGTTGCTTGGGGAAAAGACCTTGGTGTCATCCTAGACTTTTGTCTTTCACTCTCCGCATGCAATCTATTGGCAATTCTATTGGTTCTACTTTCAAAATGTGAACAGGATCTGACTACTTCTCCCTGGTATACCACTATTTTATCTTACCTGGATTATCGCAACAGCTTCACTGCTTTCACTCCTGACACATTATAGTCTGTTCTCTACAAAACAGCCAAACTGATTTTTTCAAAATTTAAGTCAGATTATATCACTACTTCGCTCAAAATCTTACAACGGCTCCCAACTCACTCCCAATAAAAGCCGAAGTCCTAACAATGGTAAACAATGCTCTACAGACGTGGCTCTTCTTCACTGCTCTGAAATCATCCACTACTCTCCACCCAGTTCACTGTAGTGCAGCAGCACTGGCCTTCTTTCTATTCCTTGAACACTGATCACGTTCTTACTTCTAGGCCTCTGAACTGTTTACTCCACCCGGACTACTCTTCTCCTACATTTAAACATGGATTAGATTAAAACTACTCTTCATCTCCTTCTAGTCTGTGCTCTAATTTAGCTACTCAGGTAGGTATCTTGTCACTACCAATTGAAAACGACAACTCCCTACTCCAACATTCCCTATCCCACTTTACTGCTTTTTCTCCAAAGCACTCGTCACCTTCTAATAACTAATTTATTTATTTTGTTTTTTGTCTTCTCTGGCACATAAAATTTAAGACTCCTAAGAGGGTCAGGATTTTTTTTTACAGTTGGTTCACAGTCTATCTCCAGTATCTAGAACTGTGACTGCACATAATAAATATTTGTTGAATAAATGAACAAAGGAGTCTCACACCTTATGCATCATCTAAAGTAAGGAAATAAAGTTATTTTTCATGGCTAATCAAAGTGACAGTTTTATAAGAGTCATATTTAAAATAAATCTGGAATGGTAATGAAGTAAGTTACAGAACTTTTATTTTAATCTTATTATTATGAAATAAAGCAAGTTCCCAGGTAATGCTGATGTTGCTGGTCTAGGTAGCACACTATAAGAACCTACTATAGAGGTTATCCTATCAACTACAATATGCATCCTTTTCGGTCTAGTATTAATTAGTTCTTTTACCTCCTTCCTTGACAAGGCAAGGACTTAAGGACATTTTAATTACATTTACCATTCTGACTTACACTATTATTGTCAAGTACTTAATTCTATGGGTTTATTAAATCCAACACGGCATCATTACTTTATATAATCAATAAGCATTTAGATTTACTGCATTTTTACCATGTCTATTGCTTTCCATTCCTTTCTGCATCTCTGATCTTCATCTTCATCTTGTGCATCTCTTCCTTCTGCCTTTAGAATATACTTTAAGGTTTTCTTTAATGTAGTTCTGCTGGTGGCAAATTATTCAGATTTATTTATCTAAAAATGTCTTTATTTTACCTTTGTCTTGAGAGATTTTCACTGTTATAGAATTTTAGATTGGCAGGTATTTTCCTTCACACACTGAAGATGTGGTCCCACTATCTTCTGGTTTCCGTTGCTTCACTGAGAAGTTGGCTGTCAGTCTAATTGCTGGTCCTCTGAAGACAATACTTTTTCTCTGTCTTCTTTTAAGACTACCTCTTTGTATTTTATTTTCAGCAGTTTTACTATGATGTGTCAAGGTGAGACTGTCCCACCATCAGCAGGGGTCACAGGATCAGACACAATTAGCTTTAATCTAGCACTGTTAGCTTTATAGAAGAATATAGGATAGGAAATTCAGCATGCACAGCATCTTCAAACTCACCAGTAGGCCAAGCAACTATTCACACACATAGTTTCTTGGATCTTTCCCCAGCCTACACAAAGAGTATGCACAGCTGCCAAGGACAGTTAAGGTGCATGTGGTTCACCTCAATACAGAGATATGCCTTGGTTTTCTGCCAGTCATATATTGTTCACTTTGCATTAATTTAAGGCCAACATGCCAACTCACAGTTCTCTCAGTCCAGATGCAATACCACAGATGTGGTTTCATAGTAAATTTAAGAGATAACTAGCTCCTAGCACATAATATTCTGTATTTGTCTTAACTTAGTATATTTCCACAAAATGGTACTATGAGAAGGGAGACACAAGGTCAGATTTTCAGGCAGGTCTAGGTCTGTTCAGGGTCCAGGTCTGATATTAAATCTTTACTCACATTGTAGATTTCAAGTCATTTATTCTCTGGGGTACAGTGGCTTATTGAATCTCTGCCTTGATGTCTTTCATCAATTTGGTAAAATTCTCAACAATAATCATTTCTAATATTTGCTTCAGCTGCATTATTTCTCTTCTCTCCTTTTAGGTCTCCTATTGAATATGTTTAACTTTCTTAATTCATCTTCTATCTCTTTTCCATATTTTTTCCATCATTTTTGTCTCTCCATGCTTCCTTCTGTATATTTTCTTCTAACATACCTACAAGTTCAATAATTCTCTTTTCAACTGTGTCTTATCTTCCATTCAATGAATCCACTGAGTTCTTAATTTTGGTAATTATATTTTTTCAGTTCTAGGATTTTCATCTTTAAAATAGTTTTTAGTTCACAGTTGAAACTTTTGATCTTGTCTTTCATTTGCCAGCATGGTTATTTTCAAGCTAGGTCTGATAACTCCAATATCTAGAGCTGCTGTGAATTTGTTTCTATTGTCCATTGCTTATGCTAGATTTATTCATGCTGACTTGCCTTTTCCTATGTATTGTTTTTCCTTGTATTTTTTATTGTGCCCTAGTTATTGTATTTACAATTTTGAAAAAATAAATGAAGTCCTTAGATGATCTTTTTTAGAATATTTTCTTTCAGAGAGGATTTAATTTTGCATCCTGTGGACACCAGCAATCCAGGATTACCTCAATTTAATTTCAGGGCTGATATGATTTGAAGTTGAGTTGCATGAGGGCTTATCTTCTACTGGTGTACTCTAGACTATAGCACTTTGGGAACCTAAACCACAGTGAGTTCACCCCCACAGTGGCGAGCACTAGGTTCCAATTCCCATGCCCCTGTGAGGCTATCACAAGTGCTCTTAGCCATTCCACCAAAACTGGCAAATGCTCCCAGGGGAAAAGTATACTCAAAAGCCAGCCTCACATTCCTAGGCTGGTAACTCTTTTCTATCTTGTTTACTTTCCAATGCCTTCAAACAGGTTTTTGGTTTTATTTTTTCAAATATATACCCTTGGTTCAATTTTTCTAGTTCTACTTAGAGGGAGGGTTGGTCCAAATCACCTAGTCTCTCATTCCCCAAACCAGAAGTTGGGTAACAGAACTTTAAACAAGATAGCAATGGAATATATCTAATTAAAGTGAAACTGTACCCAGAACTCAGATATCTTAAAGTAGCCATCAAGTAAGACATTTTTGTATCAAAAATTAAACTAACCGAAAGTTAGCACCTAAAAAACTATTTTTTTAAAAAATGACATTAATGAATGACTAATGTTTACAAAAATCAAGATAATAAAACAATTATTTCTTCATAACTTATGAGAAATATTGTACTTTAAAATGTATGAATAAGTGACAATTTTGAGGAAACTTCTTTTGCAACCTAGAAGTGCAACTTTCTTTTTAAGAAATTAAATGTTTAAATATTCTTGTATAAATATATTTTGTAGAGACCATTTCTGCCCTGAAATAGTATTTAATTAGGTGTGCATATAGGCCACTCTCTTTTACCTACATCAAATTTTTTTCTTCTTAATACAATACCAGGTTCAGCTGAACGTTTATTGAGCATAAATGTGATCATTAAGGAAAATGAGACACAGTGGGTATTCTGGAGAAATTTCTAATCTTAAAAGAAAAATATAAAGATACAATGTGATAATGGCGTAACAGAGGTATGCATAAGATGCTTTAGGTATACAGGAGGGACATCATGTCAGCACAACAGTTTCATTCATGACATTTCAATTACTACCTAAAATGCCTGTTTCCTTTGGTGATGCAATACTAAGAAAAAAAGAAAACACATATAAATTTATATTTTAAACTTAAAAAAACTCACCTGTATATATAAACATAAAGCATTATATGAGACACCAAAGTGAAAAAGCTGATATGAAAACTTACCCCATCTGGCAGTGCCCTCCAGCACACAGCACTAACAAATTCATTTGTATCATCTTCTTTTCGGTCTTTATCCAGAACGCTTTTGACTGTATCAAACTTAAAAGTTAGCAAAGTCTTAGAAAGTCCTTTATAGTACAGGTAAAGAGAGTTGTTCTCACTTCCTGAAAAAAAAAAGTAAAGAAAAAACAAGTTTTTTAGAATGAGATAACTCAGAATTGAAATCACATTCATAAGGTAATTATCATCCAATGTTTAAGCTGAAAAAGTAATCATCTTTTATGGTTAAATTTGAAAGACCAGAGCACAGAATTTTTGGGAATCATATGAGAAAAGGATTCACAGAAAAAAGCTATACATTACTTATCTAAAGAAATAATCATTGTTAAATGATATAATAGTATTGATAATTCTAAGGCTGAAATTATTATATAAAAATCATTTATAGCAGATGTCTAGAGAAGAACCAGAAATTTGTTATTATATCATGAATCTTATATTTAGAAAGATTTCTATCTAAATAGGAAAAAGAAAGTTATAGCACGTACAAGGGAAAATTTTAATAACCTACAAAACTTATTTCCCATTCCCCAATAAAGGCATTACTCTAGTAGATGAGTGGTCTAAAAACCTATATTTTTGAGCAGTCTATCAAAGCAGGATAATTACGAGAGAGATTCGCTTTGGCAGGGTTTAGGTTCATGTACAGGTGTAGAGAGTCAACTTTACTGACTAAAGACCAAGTCATTTCAAAGTACTGATGAAAGTTCATATATTCAGGCATTAGATATATTAGAGCATTTGAACACTACCAAATTTGATCCTTCTACTTCTGATTTAAATTTGTATAAATTATCAACAATAAAAGTCCTAGAATAATAGATCAAGACTACCCAAACAGACTGCTTAATGAAGAGAACACTATATAGGGGAAAATGAATATCAAGCTTAAGAAGACAAATGTCTCAAAAATTAGGATATTAGCAGAAATTAATATTTTGTCTTCTACATAATATCTATAGAAATTACGTTAAAAGGGAGAAAAACTACAAAACATATTTAAAAATCATGTTATTTCATGTTGTCAGGGCTTGTACCCAGTAAAGGAGGGAAAGACTAATGCTTCTTCCAGTACAACCCAAGCAAAATTCAAAGTGCTGAGGCATTGAGTCTATATGCTACCTTCCGAGTGTACAAATCATTTCCTGACTTGGTATGTACTCTACTTCCATTGAAAGCAATTTCAGTGACAGATACCTGCTAAAAAGTTCCAGGAAACGATGGTTTCACTTACCACAAGCTATATAATCCCCATTGGAAGCGAGGCCTACAAAGTTTTTTTCATTGATATGACCCTTGAAGGACCGTAGACAGTATGGTTTCCCTACATTCCACAGCTTTAGCTGGCTGTCTGTTGAGCTGAGGCAAACACAAAAAGTTAGAATGCAGTTAAGATTTTGTGGCATGAAACTTATCACTACTAATTAGAGGTAATCCAGTTTGCAGGTTAAGAATGCAGACTCTGGAGCCAGATTGTGTGGGTTAGAATGCTCAACATGCCATTAATTTACTTTTGACCTTGGGAAAGTTATACAACCTCTCTAGTCTCAGTTTTTTCATCTGTTAAATGTGAAAAATAATGATTCCTACCTTATAGAATTAGATGAATCCTATAAGATATTGTGAAAATTAAATTAATTCTTTTAAAATGCTTTCAATAGTACCTGGGCATGTAGGAAGTGCTTAATAAACATTAATCATCAATACCACCATATCACTACCATCAAACAACAAAAGAGCTCTATTGGGAGTGGTGCTTAATTTCAGGGATACAAGTGTTCCACTTGATTTGATTTACTTTTCAACTGGTGAACTGTATTAGTATACTGAATATAAACTATTTTCTTAGCTTAGTGGTACCTAAAGGGGTGGAGTACTATGAATGATTAAATGGTCTATATAAAGTAGTTTATCTTACTGAAATAATATGCAACTGCAGTTATTTACCAAAAATATAATTGAATATAAAAATCACTGGTAATCCTATCATACAGATAGTCTTAGGACTTGAATAAAACACCATGTTTTGTTTTTTTCTGACTTTTTATTACAAAAAATCAAATCATACCATACATATTATTTTGTAAATTGCTTCTCCCTCATTCAACAATTTGTTTTACCTTTTTTCTGTAAAATAAAGATGTTTCTATATATCTTTATTAATGACTACACAATAAATCATCCTTTCTCTTACTGTAACATTCACAGAATAGGGCACTATGCTAAATGTTTACATATATTATGTTATTTAAAGATTCACAACATAAGATAAATACTATTATCAGCTCTTATCAGCTCCATTTTAGAGATGAGGAAATTGAAATTTAGAAGGTTAAGGACATTTTCAAGGTACCACAGCTAGTAAATAGCAGAGCTAAGAGTGAAACTGTCTTATTTCAGAGGCCAAACTCTAAACTCTTTAAATACTTCTCTATTGCTTCTCATCATTTTTTCAACATAACATCTACTCTTAGACTTTTAGGTTGTTTTAAATTTGTTTCTTGCTCAACAATGATGCATTGACTATCCTTTTATATGTATATATATTTTTTTATTGGTCAAGAATTCAGAGGTTGTAGCAATATGTGTACATTTTAATATTACTTGTTAGTATTTCCAAAAATACTTGTGGATTCTAAATACTTCAAAACTCCAAATATGTCCAAGAGAAAAATCATCTTGATTTATAAAAACTAAGAAGGAAAAAAGACTGGTGAAAATACAAACAGCATATCCACATTAACCAGGTCAACTAAGATTTCCAATTTATACAATTAAGTATACTACAACTAGTTGAAATCAAAGTAATTGATTCAACATTTATAAATCTGAAATTGAAGAAAAATATTTTTGCCATATAATCCATCATCCATATTTGAATCTGAATAAAATTTTAATTATTTACTGGTCATTAGAACTCCTAAAGATAGAATACTTTTTGACTGGTTACCACTTAATTTAGATTTGTGAATTAATTACCTATACTACCTTCCCCTGGAAAGCTCAGTTCCCACCTTCTTTGTTTCCTTTTTTTGTAACTCACTTCAAATTACCTTGCTAAACCAATGCAAATTACCAAATTCTTATCTAGAGCAACAAGTATGGATGTGGTGAGAGATACCAAGTTCAAGGCACTGGCATTAATAAACTCCTAAGAGAGATTAGAAACTAAGTGAAAAGAAGAAAATAATGTATCATTAAACTTGAGAAGAAATAATAGATATGAAAAAGAGAGAAATTAAGAATGAGTATTTACTAGGGTAATATAAAATAAAGAGAACCACGACATGGGTAACAGAAAGAAGGGACTGCCTCTGTTAGTAGAAGAGCTTTGTCAACAATATTTTGGCAATTGAGATTTATTACCTGGTTGACATCTTATTACCTTGTTGACATCGTGTTACCTTCAAACAAAATAAAAAACTAAAAGCCCATATTATGATTCTCTAGTTCAGAAGGCTTCTCAAAGGACATTTGTTGGGTATAAGCAGCCACACTTATAACGTTCTCTTCAAAACATATTTAAAAATTCACCATGAAATCACAGGGAGATCAAGTAACATGGAATCATAAAAAGTCAACCAAATATTACTTAAAGTCAAAAATACTACTACTATACTGCAATGCAGATAAATAGACAATAACATATTAGTAGACTTTAATAAATAAAACACTACTCTTATATTGCATCAACTATGTTGTTTCTCTCTTCTTAAGGAGAAGCAGTGGCTGAAATCCAATCTGAAGTTCAAATATTTAAGGGAGCTACATTAAAAACTAGTGTCATCAGGATTTTATTCATAAACAACATACAAAAGTGAGCAATACTGGCCAGAATATACATGTATTTTAATTAGACAAGTTATAAAAATCTACTATTTGGGCCAGCCCCGGTGGCCTAGGGTTTAAGTTTGGCGTGCTGCACTTCGGTGGCCTGGGTTTGGTTCCTGGGTGCGGACCTACACCACTCATCTGTCAGTGGCCAGGCTGTGGTGGTGGCTCAGGTACAAAAAGTGGAAGATTGGCAACAGATATTAGCTCAGAGCAAATCTTCCTGAGCAAAAAAAATCTACTATTTAAGAAACAGCGCATACACCACAGAATTACTCTTTAGATATATCCATGGTGACGTTACAAACTGGTAAATGATGATAACAGAGATCTGTGTTAAGCTCAACCTCTGAAGAGAGTAATACTCACGCAGAGACAATTTCCTCACCACTCACAAACTTTGCATAAGAGACTGCTTTTCGGTGTCCTTTGAATACCATGATTGGCTGTTTAGTGTTACGAAGATCATAGTAGTGGACACAGTGATCTAAAATAAAACAAAACAAACAAACAGAGAAAAATGTGGTAAATGAAGAAATGAAAAGCAAAGTTAATTTTAACTGGTTCTGGTGTTTTTCATCAAATGTTTCACAATGTCAAACCTATAACAGCCAGAAAACTAAGGGCTATGACTCATTTTCAAAGATAAGGAAGATACAACGGGTGTTCTGTTTTCAATCCAGGAAAACAAAATTGCATAAGAAAGTATACACATATGCCAATGTGAGTCTGAAAAGGAGCTCCACTGATATTCCCTGTGATCCTGGCTCTAGAAACAGAGTATTCCGGGTTCAGAGTTAACTGGAAATTTTAAAAATGTATCCTTACATTCTGATAGCTTTATAAAAAAGGTAATACAAACACTTTGGGCTTCTGGCTAAACATGATCCTATATAATTTTATTTCCCACATTTGCTTTTTAAAAAACAGTTTCTTGAGACACATCTTACATATAATAAAAGCAATTCACCGTAAGTATACAATTCAATGAGTTTTACTAAATCTACCCAGTGGTGCAACCATCACCATAAATCAATTTTAGAATATTTTCCTCATCCTAAAAAGATATCTCATGCCCATTTACACCCAATGTCCTAGGCAACCACTATATCTATCTCTATAAATTTGCCTTTTCTGAACACTTAATATAAACGGAATCAGACAATACATGGCTTCTACGTATGGCTTCTTATGCTTTGCATGTTTTTGAAGTTCATCCATGTTTTAACATGTGTCAGCAGTACACTCCTTTTTATCACTGAATAGTACCCATTGTATGGATATATCCCATTTTGTCTAACCACTCATCAGTTGATGGATATTTGTTTCTACTTTTTGATTATGATGAGTAATGTTGCTATGAACAATCAGATTCAAGTCTGTGTGGACATGTATTCAGGTCTCAGGTAGATACCTTACCTTATACTTGAGAAGTGTAATTATTATGTCATGTAGTAATTTCACGCTTAACTTTTAAAGTAAGTGACAAACTGTTGACTGCACCATTTTACATTCCCACCAGCAATACATGATGGTTCCAGTTCCTTTACTGAGTTCTTTGAAAATTTTGGATACAGATCTGATAAAGATGTGTGTTTTACAAATATCTTCAACCATTCTGTTGCTTGTCTTTTTATTTTCTTAACAGTGTATTTTGAAGCAGAAAAGTTCTGAATTTTGATAAGGTCCAATTTATCTTCTTTTTCTTTCACACACCACACTTTTCGCATCGTAAATAAGAAAACTTTGACTAATCCAACATCTTTTAATCTTAATCCAAGATTTTTCTCCTACTTTTTTTCCTAAAAGTTTGATTTCTTACATTTAAGTCTGAGATAAATTTTAAGTTAACTTTCGTGTATGGTGTGAAGGAAAAAGTCTAGTTCATCTTTTTGCATTTAGATGGATATGCATCCAGTTGTCCCAGCATCATTTGAGAACAGACTACTTTTTTCCTAATGAAAGGAAAAAAGCTGCTTTGGCAACTTTGTCGAAAATGAATAGACTAAAAATAAGAATTTACTTCTAGATTATTAATTCTAATCAATTGATCTACATATGTCTACCCTTCTGCCAGTACAACAATGTCTTGATAACTGTGGCTTTATAATTTTGAAATTGGGAAGAGGAAGTCCTCCAACTTTTTTCTTTTTCAAAATTGTTTTGAAAAATCCTGTTTTTTTGCATTTCCACATAAATTTTAGGATCAGCTTATCATTTCCCGCAAAAAAGCCTGCTGGAATTTTTACAGGAATGGAGTCGAATCTCTAGATCAATTTCAGGAGAATTACCATCTTAACAATATTGAGTCGGCCAATCTATGAACACAAAATGTCTCTTCATTTATTTACATCTTCTTTAATTTCCCTCAGCAAACTTTTGTAATGTTCAGTGTACAAGTCTTGTACTTATTTTATTAAATTTATTCCTTTAAGTATTTTATTCTTTTTGATGTTACTCTGAACAGAATTTTTATTTTGGGATTGTTCATTGTTCATGTATAGAAAGGCAATTGATTTTTTTATATTGATGTTTTATTCTGTGGCCCTGCTGAACATTTTATTAGTTCTAATACTTTTATCTTTTAAGATTCCTTAAACTTTTATACATATGGGATGATGTTATCTGCAAATAGTTTAATGTTTCCTTTCAAATCTGGATATCTTTTATTTCCGTTTCTTCCCTAGCTACATTGGCTAGAATCTCCAGTACCATGCTGAATTGAAGGGGCAAAGTGAACATCCTTGTCTTGTTCCTAATTGCAAGGTAAAAGCCTTCACTCTTTCACTATTAAGCAGGATGCTCACTGCTAGTTTTTCATATAAACGCTTTGTCAGGTTGAGGAAGTTTCCTGCTCTTTGTTTAAGAGTTTTTATCATCAATGGGTGTAGAATTTTATCAAATGCCTTTTCTATATTTATTGAGACGACTGTGGGGGTTTAGTCCTTTATTCTATTAATGCGGTATATTACATTAATTGATTTTTGGATGTTAAACAAATCTGGCACTCCTGGGATAAATCCCACACTGTCACAGTGTATAATCTTTTAAATATGCCATTGGATTTGGTTTCCTAATATTTTGTTGAGAACACTTGCATCTATATTCTTGAGGAATACTGGTCTGTGTTTTTCTACTTATGAGCTATCTTTGGCTTTGGTTTTAGAAATCCTTCAGGGAAGAATGTGTGAAGCATATTATTTTTTCTTTCAACACTTGATAAAATTCACCCGTGAAGCCATCTGGGTCTCAGCTTTTCTTTGTAGGAAGATTATTAGTTACTAACTCAATTTCTTTACTTTTCATAGGTCTATTCAAATTTTCTATTTCTTCTGAGTCAGTTTTGGTAATTTGTATTTTCTAGGTATTTTTCACTTCATCTACATTACTGAATAAGTTGGCATACAGGTGCTCACAGTGTTCCCCTATTACTCTTTTAATATCTGAAAGGTCAGTGGTAATGTCCCCTCTTTAATTGTTAATTTTAGTGATCTGTGTCTTCTTTTTTCTTGGTTAGTCTAAGTAAAGATTTGCCAATTTTGTTGATCTTTTCAAAGAAACAACTTTTGGTTTTACTGATTTTCTCTATCATTTTTCTGTTTGCTATTTCCACTCTAATCACTATTATTTCCTTCCTTCTGCTTATCTTTAGTTTGTTATTCTTTTTCTAGATTTTTATGGTGAAAGCTTAGATTATTGAGATCTTTCTTCTTTTTTAATATAGGTACTTAAAACTATACATTTCTTAGAAGCATTGTTTCAGCTGCTAGCACAGATTTCAATATGTGTTTTCATTTTCACTCACTTCAAAATACTAATTTCTCTTGTAATTTCTTCTTTGATGGAAGGGTTCTTTAGAAATGTGCTGTATTTCCAAATATTTGTGGATTTCCCAAATTAAGTATTGTTGCTGCTTTCTAATTTAATTCCATTTTAGTCAGAGAAAATGACTTGTGTGTGTGTGTGAGGAAGATTAGCCCTGAGCTAACATCCATTGCCAATCCTCCTCTTTTTGTTGAGGAAGATTGGCCCTGGGCTAACATCAGTGCCCATCTTCCTCTACTCTTTTTTAATATGTGGGACGCCTGCCACAGCACGGCTTGGTAAGCAGTGCGTAGGTCTGTGCCTGGGATCTGATCCTGCAAACCATGGGCCGCTGAAGCAGAGCACATGAACTTAACTACTACGCCACCAGGCTGGACCGCAGAAAATTATTTTTATAATTTCTAGTCTTTTAAATTTGTTAAGACTTGTTACATGACCTAATATATGGTCCATCCTAGAGAATGTTCCATGTGTGCTTGAATGTGTTTTTGCTATTGTTGGGTAGAGTGAGCTATAAATGTCTGTTAGGTCAAGTTGATAATGTTATCCAAGTCTTCTATATCCTTGTTGATTTTCTTTCTAGTTGTTCTATCTATTGAGAGTAGAGTTCTGAAGTCTCCAACTACTTTTTTAAATTGTCTATTTCCCCCTTCAATTCTATAATAGTTTCATGTATTTCACAATACATTTCACACTATTTGTTATAATCATTCTATCTTGCTGCTGAATTGACCTTTTTATAATTATACAATGCCTTTGTTTGTAGTACCAATTTTTACTTAAAGTCCATTTTGTTTGATTTAAATATAGTCATTCCAGCTTTTTCTTGGTTAATATTCACGTGGTATATCTCTTTCCATCCTTTTACTTTCAACCTGTGTCTTTGAATCTAAAGTGCATCTTTAATATTTAATTACATTTAATTAAATACATTTAATATATTTATTTATATGATAGGATTTACACCCGCAACAGTGCTATTTGCTTTTGTTACATCTTTTTTGTTTTTATACTCCTCTCTGCCTTTTTTGTATTAAGTAGATATTCTCTAGGGTAATACTTTAGTTCCTTTCTTGCTGTTTTTTTACTATATATTTTTAGAAGTTATTTCCATAGTATTTTTCCTGGGGATTATTATTAGCATGGGAATTTAAAATAATCTAGTTCAGACTATCACTAAATTAATTTTAATACTATACAGAAATTTTGCTCTAATATAGCTCTTTTCCTCCTCTTCTCACTCTATCTCTTGTACATCTTTTTATATTATAAGCCCACAAACACATTTTTATAATTCCTTTTTTACTCAGTTGTCTTTTAAATCACTTAGAGTTATTAGAAAAAAATATATTTAAACTATCTTTTATTATACCAATATTATTATCTTTACCCAGTGTTCTTTATTACTTTGTGTGGATTTGCATTACTATCCTAGTATCCTTTCTTTTTAGCCTGAAGGACTGCCTTTAGTATTTCTTGTAGGGCAGGTCTGCTAGAAAAGAACTTGCTCGGTTTATGTTTATTAGAGAATGTCTTAATTTCCTCTTCATTTTTGATGGATAATTTTGCTAGATATAAAAATCTTTCTTGACAATCTTCCTTTCAGCACTTTAAACACACCTCACTGCCTTCTAGTTTTCATGGTTTCTAACGAGAAGTTGC